CATTATCCCTCCTCCGTCTCTTTATCCCTACGTCTCATTCTCTCCCTCCCTCTCATTCTCTCCCCCTCCGTCCTTTCATCTCACCTTCCCTCTCACCCTCCCTCCCTCTCATCACCCCTCCCTCTCACTGTCCTTCCTCTCTCTCTCTCATCATCCCTACGTCTCATTTTCTCCCTCCTTCCCTCTCATTCTCCCTCTCTCTCGTTCCCTCCCTCCTTCTCATCATTCCTCCCTCTCATCCCTTCTCCCTCCCTCTCCTCCCTCTCCCTTTTCTGCGATAAAGGCTGAAACACTCCCGTAGTCTCTATATTACCACTGTCAATTTTGTTTTTCTCTTTTAATTAATTTCATGAATTCGGTCAGGTAAAATAACACCTGTCAACACCCAGGTGAGTTAATTAGAGCAAAAGTTTTGTTTGTATTCGTGACAACTTTGGGAAATAAAGAACTGCCCAGGTAATGTTTTTGCCTGCGTGTCTGTCCACCTGTTTGTTCATCCATCCGTTTGTCCCCTCTCCGTCCGCCAGTCCGTCTATCTATCCACCCGTCCGTTTATCTATCCGTCTATCCATCCTCTAATGAAGGCTCTTGACCTTACTGCCTCGTGTTCATATCATGACCTCAAATAATCAAGCTTTCCCCTCTACGCATTTGACCTACTTTTCAAGATCACGTGGTAGTTAAAGGTCATGAACGATAGGATTAGCCAAGAAACTTAAAAAAAAATAAAAAATAATATATGAGCGGTTGTGATTTTTTTCTGGGATTTGCTGAGGGTTGGCGACCATGGCCCACCTACTGAAAAAAAAGTCATTTGGGCTGTTTACTGATGTGCTCTTTAAATATTGTGTCACCTTAAAGACCTTCATTCATCTATTCCTTCACCTCCCCTCCCTCCCCCAGCCTCTGCCTTCCCCTTGGCCTCTCCTACACTCGATCTTATCCAGGATTATCCCTATCATTATCCTTTCATGTCATTATTGCGTTTATTATTTCTGTTGTTTATTTTAGCTAACATTTCTCTCTCTCTCTCTCTCTCTCTCTCTCTCTCTCTCTCTCTCTCTTTCTCTCTCTCTCTCTCTCTCTCTCTCTCTATACCGACACAGTTTATATATGTATACATTGTGCAATACATTTATATAAACACTCGTCTTCACAACTTGACCAATCACCAGTCAAACATCACCTCCCCACCCCCAGCCCAGCCTCCTCCAGGTGGGTTAAGGGAAGGAGAGGAAGGGAGATATAGGTTGGGAGAGGAAGGGAGGTGGGGGGGGGAGAAGAGGAGGGCAGGTAGGTAGGTAGACTAAGGTAAGGACCCTTCGTCAGGTAGGTACGGTAAGGTGAGAAAGGTGAGCTAATTAATCTAGGGTAGGACGTGTCCCCCGCCTCACCTGTTCTCTCTCTCTCCACACATAATTAATTCCGTCAAGTCAAGATGTTTGATTAAAACAAGTTGACGCTGATGACCTCCTCCTCCTCCTCCTCCTGCCTCTTCCTCCTCCTACCTTCTTCTTCTTCTCCTACCTTCTTCTTCTTTTTCTCCTCCTACCTCCTTTTTCTTCTTCTTCTTTTTCTTCCCCTCCTCCTCTTCTTCCTCTCCTCCTCCTACCTCCTCCCCCTTCTTCTTCTTCTACTTCTTCTTCTTCTCCTCCTCCTCTTTCTTCTTCTCCCTCCTTCCCTCTTACCTCTTCCTCCTCCTCCTATCTCCTCACTCTCTTCTTCTCCTCCTCCTCCTCCTTCTTCTTCTTCTTCTCCTCCCTTCTCCCTCCCTCCCTTCTTCTCTCTCCTTCCCCATCCCCCATCCTCCTTCTTCCTCCCTCCCTCTACCCTTTACAAATCATACGTAAACTAAAAATGCCCAAAAAATGACTTAAATTGAAGGCTTGGGCTCAAACTCATTTACCTGAGCACAAGCACCGACAGGTTCATTAGCGTCAGGCTACAGGTGAGTGTGGAGCATGGCAGGTGTCTCTCTGGCCACACTCTTTCTCGGTCACATCCTCTATAGTAATATCCGGATCTACGGTAAATGTCAATTGTTCGGATTTTCAACATTGTCAGTGTCCGGATGAGGTGGTATAGGTGACCGGCTAAAACCTTACTTGAAAAAAAATCCACAAAAAAATCAGCCATTGGACAAAATCCCCGAAAAAAATACTAGAGTGAACAAAATCAATCTAATTCAAATTCTTTTATTTTTTTTAATGTTAAGTTAGGTTTAGTTGGTTTATACAGTACCTACTCATCCCTAGTGGCAGGCTTTCAGGAACTGACTTGTGTTACCAGTTAGATCTGACAGGTATTCAAGACAGTTCTTACTCCTTGAGAAATGTTACCTTTAAAGTGAATCGTACGTTCAAGAGAGGACATAACCTGAGACGTACACACGGTCGTCAGGTAGGCGTCTGCTGGACTATATCAGCTCCCCGCCCTCATTACCAGACCACCGACGGGCTCGATTAAGACTCCCCAGAAATTTGGAAGCCTCCGTTAATGGCTGGTTAATGACAGGTTATGACCCGCCAGTTGAGAGTTAGTAGCATATTCGGAAATGATCAGTAAAACGGTGTGGAAGGCAGCAGCAGACCGGGGCAGAGGAGCGGGCAGGTCGGAGGGTCAGGCAGCGGGCGGCAGTGGTTGGGCCCGGCGGGGGTGGCAGGATGACGGAGCCCCGGGCGCTCATCATGTGCGGGGCGACACGTCATTGGATGATGGATGAGGTTTCTCCGACATGGAGCGCTTCCATTGGAGGAGACGTACGCGGACGTGCAAGATGATTGGCAGGTGACGGAGCCGACGCCCGCCGCGCGCTCCGTCATTGGCTCCCACGCACCGCACAGCCCGCTTCAGACAGCATTGCACTTGCATGCCATCAGGAATCCTAATGTTCCACATATGTCATATCCTTCTGTTTATGGCGCTCTTTTTACCTTCGATTGTCTTTGTTAAATGCTCTTCGTGAGTCGTCTGCATAAATTGCCCTTCGTGTTATTGAAATTTAGTGTGTGAGTGATCCGGCAGGTCGGTGTTCCCGCGTATACCTTTGTCAGGAGGGTCTGCGGCGCACCACCCAGCCCTACACCACCTACCACACCTACGCCACTTTTTTACAACTGCTTTAAATCTTATATCTGACATTAAATATCAATTTATGCCAATCAACGAACAGTAAATAATAAGTCAATGAAGTCCTTAACACCAATACAAATTAGAGGAAACAGCTAGACGTCTAAGATCAGAGATGTCACAAAGTCCTGGTCCTCCCCGTTCCTTCCTACCCTGGCCTTGGCAACACTGTCTACTGAGAAATCTAGTTCACTCTACTCGGAGACATTTATTAACATTTTAGCCGCGTGTACAGACCAGAGAGAAGTTTAAACTGTACATAACGACAGAGGACAGGTCGAGGGTAATTTTCGAGCAGTTAAGAGATGACGTTTAGCTCTAGGCTTCTCCACCACCCGCTAACCCCAACGCTCCTCACCCCACCTCCCTCTCCCCACCTCCCCATCTCCCCACCTCCCTCACCCCCCTCCCCCCTCTAAAAAAAAAATAACATTACCATTTCGTGTCATAAAATAAAGTTCTTCCGAGGATAAAATTACCCAGCAATTTTCTTATCCATGCAAGCAAGACTACCATTCCATTAATCCATTTCGGTGTCACTTTTAACGGTGCAAATAATTTAAAGTAACCCCCACTCTGTCATCATTACTCTGCCTCTACCACCACCAACCTCGCTATCGCAATCCACCTCTCATCCTACCCTTCACACATCCACCAAATCCACACCCTCTATTGATCTATCATCCACTAGACACCCAACCATCATCCACGAGTCTGAAAACCACGTCCAAATGAGGTAATTAGAGAGAATAACAGGGTCTTTTATGGAGGCGAGGAGGTCACTTGTGGCTCTCTCAATCGACCACCTCCACGTCACCTGAATCTCTCTTAGGAGGTCAGACAGACAATCACTTGGTTATCGATACTCTAATAACCAACAGGTGTGTAATAGGTCCGTCCCATTTACCGTGGTATATGGACCAATTACCCTCCTAGGTACAGTAGTTAGGCTTTTGTGTGTGATTGGTGACTATCCCGCGTGTAAATAGTGTAGAAGGAATATTGGAAACTGTTATTATAGACTCTCTCTCTCTCTCTCTCTCTCTCTCTCTCTCTCTCTCTCTCTCCATTTATGTAGATTCTGATAATTATTTACTGAAAAGAACATTGAATTAATTAACCTCTGTGAATAATGCTTTGTATTTTAAGTCTTTGTAACTTCCTGGAAAATAGTACCTTAATGGTAGATTAGGATAGGTTAGGTTAGGTTAGGATAGGTTAGGTTAGGTTAGGTTAGATTAGGTTAGGATAGGTTAGATTAGGATAGGATAGGTTAGGTTAGGTTAGGTTAGGTTAGGTTAGGATAGGTTAGATGCGAATTCAAATCCAAAACCATATCCATTTCCATCCAATCGTGTCCTTATCCATTCGATCCGTGTACTGTACGTGTCTTGTCTCTATGTCCTTGGAAAAGCAACTGTATCCATGTCTTACCTGTGTCTCCATGTCTTACCTGTGTCTCCATGTCTTACCTGTGTCCCCATGTCTTACCTGTGTCCCCATGTCTTACCTGTGTCTCCATGTCTTACCTGTGTCCCCATGTCTTACCTGTGTCTCCATGTCTTACCTGTGTCCCCATGTCTTACCTGTGTCTCCATGTCTTACCTGTGTCTCCATGTCTTACCTGTGTCCCCATGTCTTACCTGTGTCTACATGTCTTACCTGTGTGTCTCCATGTCTTACCTGTGTCCCCCATGTCTTACCTGTGTCCCCATGTCTTACCTGTGTCCCCATGTCTTACCTGTGTCTCCATGTCTTACCTGTCCCCATGTCTTACCTGTGTCTCCATGCCTTACCTGTGTCTCCATGTCTTACCTGTGTCCCCTGTCTTACCTGTGTCCCCATGTCTTACCTGTGTCTCCATGTCTTACCTGTGTCTCCATATCTTACCTGTGTCCCCATGTCTTACCTGTGTCCCCATGTCTTACCTGTGTCCCCATGTCTTACCTGTGTCCCCATGTCTTACCTGTGTCTCCATGTCTTACCTGTGTCTCCATGTCTTACCTGTGTCCCCATGTCCTACCTGTGTCCCCATGTCTTACCTACGTTTCCATGCCCCTTTCCAACTATGTCCATGCTCGCCCTCCATATCCGTGTCCTACCAACCGTGTCCGATTTCTTCTAGCCGTTTCTAATGTCCTCTCGACTGTGTCCGAGCCCATTACGTGTCCGAGCCCATTACGTGTCCGAGCCCATTACGTGTCCGAGCCCATTACGTGTCCATTTAACTAAGCTGGATCCTTCAGCCATGCCCATGTCCTTTCAACCCATGTCCATCCATGTCCACATCCTACCTCCTTACCCCGGATCCCGGAGATATAGTTACTTCCCCTGAGACACAATTAATGATATTCTTAAAGAAATCCATTGGAGAATATTGCAAATTCACCCCCAGAGAGAGAGAGAGAGAGAGAGAGAGAGAGAGAGAGAGAGAGAGATGCCCCTCCCCCAAAATATAAATGAAACATCCCCCTGAGATTTATATTATTAACAAAGAGACTCCCCCAGATATACCACTGAAACCCTCCCTTACCCTCAAATACACCCCAGAGATATCTATCCCTTGTTCCCAAATACACCCCCCCCCCAAAGAGACACCACACCCCAGATACACCCCCAGAGAGAGGGTAGGGAGGGAGGGGAGGGTGTAGGGTAGTGTCGTGACAGAGGGCCGTCAGTGTGGGCTTATGATGATAGGATAAGAACCACGTCTCTCTCTCTCTCTCTCTCTCTCTCTCTCTCTCTTTGTTACTGTTTTCTCCGGATGTCTCCCACAAACACTAACGCCCTTCCTAATGACAGATAAACACACCTTTCCGTCCTCTATGTAAATCACACTGGTAAAAAAAAAATAATGATATATTCTGTAAACAAAGGGAGATTATTTACGAGTTTAATGTATGAAGAAAAGTCTATTTAATCGTGTGTTTTTTTGTAAATAATTGTAAAAGAGAAAGACACTATGACAGGATGGTGTAAAAGTGTGTAAATTAAGGTGTAAAAGTGTGTAAATTAAGGTGTAAAAGGGTGTAAATTAAGTTGTAAAAGTGTGTAAAGTTAGAAAAGGGTGTAAATTAAGTTGTAAAAGGGTGTCAATTAAGTTGTAAAAGGGTGTAAATTAAGTGTAAAAGTGTGTAAATTGATAAAAAAGATACAGTAATTATAAATCGTGTAAATAAGGGATGATTTACGAGTGTAGTTGTGAAGAAACTTAATTTAATCTTTATTGTTTGTAAATGAGAGAGAGAGAGAGAGAGAGAGAGAGAGAGAGAAATTTAAAGAGAATAAATTAACAACAGTGACAATAACCATTCAATAAAATTAACAGTGACCTCAGTAATCTTACTCAATAGTTAACAGTGACCTCAGTTATCTTACTCAATAGTTAACAGTGACCTCAGTTATATTACTCAATAGTTAACAGTGACCTCAGTTATATTACTTAATAGTTAACAGTGACCTCAGCTAATTGCTCCGTTGACCGAGTATATGACAGTGCTCATATAACATTTTCACTGTTAACAAGACAACAGCATTATAATTCCCATAATATAATACCCTATCATACCTTAATGCCAAGAGAAATGAAAGAAATCTGTGCAATAATACTCCCTGAGGAAATAAAAAATCTAGAATGATAAAAATCTGACGTATATTAAACTCACGAACCTAAAAAAGAAATCTGACTTAAAACCTGAGATCATAAATTCAAGGACTAATGAATGATGGAATCGGGGGTATTATTTACAATCGGTTTTAAAATATCGGATTGATTGGCTTGTGTAAATCTGTATATTTATTAAAATAAATAAATCGGAATGGTATGATTTTAATCTGAGGATAATAATGTATCACTGAGCTTCAACATTTATGACAGGTTGGTTAGGTTAGATTAGATTAGGTTAGGTTAGGATAGGTTAGGATAGGTTAGGTTAGGATAGGTTAGGTTAGGTTCTCCTCCAGCATGGACTACATAAAGAACTGTAATTTAACGTCCATTTTTTTGTATTTGTCAACAAAATTTCCACCAAAAGAGAAAAAATAATAATAATAATAATTTCTTGAGATTTCGTCATAGATTTCACTTCTAAATTCAACACATTTTCTCATCACGAAATATTAGAGTTCTTATGAACGAACAAGAAAATAAAACATTGTAAGATTATGACCTAAATAACACAACACCACACAACACAACACAACACAACGCAACGCAACGTAACACAACGTAACACAACACAACGTAACACAACGTAACACAACACAACGCAACGTAACACAACACAACGTAACACAACACAACGTAACACAACACAACGCAACGCAACGTAACACAACACAACGTAACACAACGCAACACAACACAACACAACGCAACGCAACGTAACACAACACAACGTAACACAACACAACGTAACACAGCACAACGTAACACAACACAACACAACACAACACAACGTAACACAACACAACGTAACACAACACAACGTAACACAACACAACCACAACACAACACAACGCAACCACAACACAACACAACACAACGTAACACAACACAACACAACGTAACACAACGTAACACAACGTAACACAACGTAACACAACACAACACAACACAACGCAACGCAACGTAACACAACACAACGTAACACAACACAACAGCAACACAACACAACACAACACAACGCAACACAACACAACACAACACAACGTAACACAACACAACACAACACAACACAACGTAACACAACACAACACAACACAACACAACACAACACAACACAACACAACGTAACACAACACAACGTAACACAACACAACACAACACAACACAACACCAATTCATATTTTCTCTAAATCTTTCGCCATGGCAATTATATTAAATTTTATTGACAGTTTTCATGATAAGTTACAGTAAAAATATTATTTACCTCCATTACCCAGATCCTAAACCTCTTTATATGTTAACAAGGAGAAAAAGTGTAATGTTTAAGCTATGCAAATATTGTATTATAATTTGACTGACAAATCCTATACGTTTATGACGCTATAAATCACAGCAGAGGGAGGCTGTGCACGGTATAATAGAGGAGTAATTGTGGGTAAAGTATAAGTCTACTCCCCCACCACTCTGTTACTCCACACACACACGCACACACACACACACACACACACACACACACACACACACACACACACACACACACACACGTATACTGTTCACACGCTCATAGGCTCTCTCACGCTTACATGCTCATAGACTCTCACAGCTCACACACACACACACTCATAGACTCACACACACACACACACACGTATACTGTTCACACGCTCATAGACTCTCACAGCACACACACACACACACACACTCATAAACTCACACACACTCACAAGTTCACAGACCCAAACACTGCCATACACACACACACACGCATACAGACACGACCAAAGAAAGATTCAATTAATAATACAAATCCTCATAAGTGAACCTTAAGCACCATAACGAGGCTACCTGTAGACTCTCACTATATCGTCGACACCATACCTCCTCCCTCACACCCCCCCCTCTACCCTCACCTTCCAAACACCATATACATTACATTAAGGAGAATCCAATACAGATATTTTTACCACATCTTGAGTTACGATAGAAATGATTTAAACTTACGTGTACTGTGTGGGTTAAGGGCGGTGTGCAATGGTAGGTGTTGCGTGGGGGAACTTACCTGATTTGCATAGATAACTCAAAGGATGTCATTAGTTAACTTGACGAGCTTTTCTACCTGTTGGCTTTTCTTGAGTTTCTTTTTTTTTTTTCTGTGTGTGTGTTATTTATATTGTCTCCAGGTGTAGTGAGGTGTAGGGATGATAATTAGAGTTGATTTTTGGGATTGATTAATTAATGGTTTTGTTGAGACAGGTGTTATACATGTGTGCTCTCTCTCTCTCTCTCTCTCTCTCTCTCTCTCTCTCTCTCTCTCTCTCTCTCTCTCTCTCTCTCTCTCTCTCTCTCTCTCCTCTCTCTCTCTCTCTCTCTCTCTCTCTCTCTCTCTCTCTGCCTTACACATTCCTCCCTTCTCCCACACCTTACACCACCACCACCACCACCACCTTCTTTGTTTGTTCCTGAATAACACCTTCAATTAACATGTCACCAGGTAAGCCAAGTCTTTTACCTGTTTGAATACATATCAATTACCTCACCTGCCGTAAAACCAGAAGTCAAGGGATTCTCACCAATTAGATGATAGGCTCGTTAAATATACACCAATAATGTCTATAATATTCAAGGTTAAATAATCATATTACAGTATAAACAAACAAACAATGCGTATATATATAAAGACAAGGATAATGTTATATATTTCTACATTCGTGGTGGGGAATAATAAAAACGATATTTTTTTTTATTATTTTTTTTTTTTGCATTTTGATTCTTGTCAGTTGGTTTAATACACAAGTTTAAAATCACGCCTTAAAGACTCTGTATTTTACGGTACCACAAAGTCTTACAACTCTCTTTCTCTCTCTCTTTTTTTTTACCCTAATCCTTCTCAATGCCATTATGATATCAAACCTCCAAACCGACCAGTTATCCTGTTATCCTTCCTCATGGTAACAACCCCCCACTCACCTATCAAGGCCTCAATGACCTGGTATTACCCTGAGAGTCACAGCTGATATCAAGTCGTCAAGTAGTATACGTTCCAACATGTGTATAGGTTCTTGTAAATACTTAAAATGTTTTGATATTACACGAGGAGTCAAAATGATATCATGTGGGCCACTTCGCATACCTCCTGCCCCCCGCCCCCCCCTCCTCTCGATACGTAACACCTGTGAGAGTAATAAATGGGGTAGAAAAAAATTAACAGCGATAAATAACCAGAGATGATATTAAC